TTTTTTAATTGTCTAAACAATTACCCCATTCTTCCAGGATATCTATGGTTTTCTGATCTGTTTCTTGCCTCTTTCCTGGAATGTCTTGGTTGTTGTGTACACATGTATTTATCAAATCCTTTCCTGTTAGGTAGTTCCTTCGCCAGAGTGGAAGCCAGCTTTTAACTTGTGGAAAACTAAAAAGCATTTTGGGGGATTCATGATGCTCAAGGAAAACTGACCCAAAAGACTTCAGTGTGAGACATGCTTACATGGAGGGTATCATTTTCCTCCAACAAAGAAGACTTCCTCTTTGACAGAGCAAAGAGCAGGTGGTCCCCCCCCCTCTAATCTGTTCTTCTTTCTTTTGAAAAAGCCTGAATGGTATCTAACCCAGGTGCTCATGTGGATTGGAAATCATGCTAAGTTTCTTGAAGACAAAGTCCAGCCAATATTGGACAAGGCAGGCTCGCCAGTCAATGCAAGAGTAAGCATTTATAATCATAGCGTTCATGGCCTTAGTAAACCCAGCATACTTCTATCTGTTGCTTTCATCCTGATCCATCTCTTTGCCTCTCTTAAGGTGGAGTTTTCCCGAGCTCTGGTGATGCTGATCCTGGAGAAGTTGGCTACTGATATTCCTTGCTTGTTGTATGATGACAATCTCTTCTGTCATCTGGTGGATGAAGTACTTCTGTTTGAGAGAGAACTGCACAGTGTTCATGGATATCTCAGCAGCTTTCCCAGCTGTATGCACATTTTGTCCGAGGAAACCTATTTTCAGAGATGGTTAACTGTGGAAAGAAAATGTAAGATATGATGGGAGAATTTATTTGCTTAAATATAATCCCAACCTTGGGAAGTAGCTGTTCACAGGTTATGGGATGAAAATGAAATGTTATATTTCTATGGGTTAGGCTGGGAAATGCATTTGCCAGTTTTCAGTCTCATATTTGGGGGAGCAGAAGTTTATAGGTGTATGTAAAGAAGTAACTTTGGATATATGAACTTATAAACCACCCAGAGACCTTTGGGTAGTGTGGGTGGCATATAAGTTTAAATAAATAAATAAATAAATAAACTGTATATGAACAGTGATAGCCTTGCAGTACTTACTCATGTGCAACATTGTATGTGTGACTGCTTTTGAAAACAGTCAACAACTTTGGTAGTCCAAAACAAAACAATAATGAAGACTGGTCAGTGTGATCCATATTCCTGTATTTTATCACCTGCATTGACTGCTAGTCTGTTCTGATCCAGTTTATAAAGTGCTCTTTTTCATTATCCTCTGGGGACCTCTTTCAGATTCCATCACAAAATAAGATGAGGCAAATGACTAAAACAGAGAACCTTTTTAAGGATATCACCCCATCTTTAAAATCACATGCTGTCCGATTTTTATCTTTTGCTGCTGATTTTACCTTACACTACTATTGTTATGATTTTAAAGATCATTTAAAAAACTACCTGTGTGACAGCCAGAAAACCTTAATTATTAGTCTAAAAGTGTAAAATAAATTAATAATTGCCTATAGTGTACAGATGGTTTCCTAGTCAGGACTAATTTATAACCACTAGGGGGCAGAGTCCATCTCAAAAATACAGTGGTGCCCCACATGACGACGATAATCCGTTCCGGGAAAATCACTGTTAAGCGAAATCGTCGTCATGCGAAAAGCCTTTCCCCATTGGAATGCATTGAAACACATTTAATCCGTTCCAATGGGGAAATTACCTCGTCGTCCAGCGAAGATTGCCCATAGGGAAGTCATTTTCAAAGCGCGGATCAGCTGTTAAAATGGCTGCCCTACGAAGCATGGGTCCGGAAAACACAGGGCAGCCATTTTAGGAACCTGACGATCAGCTGTAAAGATTGTTGTCGTGCGAATAAATGGTCCGCGAAGCACGGACATAATCGACGTCCAGGCAAATTCACCCATAGGAATGACTGTTTTGCGAATCACTATAGCGATCGCAAAAAAGTCATCGTCCTGCGGTTTTGTTGTACAGTGGGGTCGTCGTCTAGCAAGGTACCACTGTACTGGTTTGCCAAATGAAGCACATTCCTTACTGCAATAGTGCTATAGGTTGCCAATACAGTGGTGCCTTGACTTACCAATGTCCCTACTTAAGATCATTTTGAGTTACGACCTGCTCCAGCCACAAAATTTTGCTTTGACTTAGACCAGAGCTTCCACTTAGGAACAGAAAAAGGCAGGGAAAAAGGCAGGAAATTCAAATTTCTAACTGTAGGTGGCGACGAGGCTGCTTCTTTGTAGCTCTTTCACCCCAGCAGTTAGAGAGTGTGGGTCGGCGGCGGCGGCTTGGGACTGCCTCCTCCTGCTTCTGAGTGGGTGAGAGAGAGAGAGAGTGTGTGTAGGGAGGATTCGGGCTGCTTTGTAATGTAAGGTGCAGTTTTCTGCTTTTTAAAAACTGTTGCAGCGTGGTTTTGAGCTAGGGGGTTTATGTTTCTGTGCTGTGATGAGTCTTGGGTTTGTTTGTTTTTTGGGTCCCCCCCCCATTTCCGATGGACCTTGAGGTTTTTTGTTGCTTTTTGGTGTGTTCTTTTCCATTTCCGATGGGTCTTGGTTTTTGTTTTTTCGTTTTTTTGGCTTTCCACCCCATTTCCGATGAGTCTTGGGGGTTTGGTTGCTTTTTGGAGCGGTTCCCCATTTTTGATGGGTCCTGCATGCTTCCCTTGGTTTCTCCTTTGTTTTTCTGTGCATTTCCAATGGGTCTTGCACACTTGATTGCTTTTCTCCCCGGCCAGAAGGGATTAATCATGTTTCCAATGAGTTTTGCAGTGATATTTTTTTTGGTGATTTTTTTTCTTTGGCCGGAACAGATTAATTGCATTTCAATGCATTCCTATGGGAAATGGTGCTTCGACTTACGACCATTTCAAGTTACATCCATCTTCTGGAACGGATTATGGTCGTAAATCGAGGCACCACTGTATGCATGATTAAACAACAGTCAGATGACTCTTAGCCATGAAGGTGTTTTTTTTTTGAAGGACACCTGTTCTCCAGTGCAAAGTAAATCACTTCTTGGGTTTCTGAGATGCGTGAAATATTTAGGAGTGATTTTTACCAGTGCTACTCTCAGTAAGCTTCCATGCTCAAGCAGGGATTTGAACCCAGGCCTCCTGAATCCTAATCCAACATTCTGTCCACTAACTACACTGACCGTTATCTTACCAGCAGAGAATCAGACTAAAGGGGACGCTTTTGCTGTCTCATCCTAGTCCATATCTCTACAAACATGGTGTTTTGTTCCAAAACTTATATGCAGACAACTAGAATACAGTGGTGCCTCGATTAGCGACGTTAATCCATTCCAGGAAAAACGTCGCTAAGGGATTACGTCGCTAAGGGAAATTAAAAAGCCCATAGAAACGCATTAAAACGTGTTTAATGCATTCCTATGGGCTTAAAAACTGACCTTATGCGAAGATCCTCCATTGTGGCGGCCATTTTGGGTGCCTCTAAAGCGAGGTAAAACAGCGGGCGGCCATTTTGTTTTTCCGGCGGCCATTTTGGAACCGCCGATCAGCTGGCTGAAAACGGGGGCTTTGCGATGATGGCTTCCACGTGATCATCGCAAAGCGATTATTTCCCATAGGAAACATTGCAAAGCGATCGCTTTTGCAATTGCAAAAACAGCGTCGCAAAGCAATGTTATTGCTCAATGGAGCGATCGGTAAGCGAGGCACCACTGTATTAGAAGAAACAGTCATAACAAATACAACCTGATATAAAATGGACTCTTGCTCATTTCTCCTTTTTCACAATTGTAATACAGTGGTGCCTCGCTTAACGAGCGCACCGTATAACGATTAAATCGCATAGCGATCCGTCTTTTCGGATCGCTAATGCGATCGCACAATGTTTTTCCCATAGGGAAAAATTCGCTTTGCGAAGACCGGTAAGCGTTTCGCTTACCGATCTTCGCAAAACGACCCCCGCCGATCAGCTGTTCGGCGGCCAAAATGGCCGCCGGAAGCCGGGAAATGGCCTAAAATGGCCGCCCGCAGCGTTTTCGCGCCCTCGTTAAGCGAGGCGAGGGCGCGAAAATGGCTGCCGGCCATTACGAAGCTTCGTTAAACGGTGAGTATTTGGCCCATTTGGAACGCATTAAACCATGTTTAATGCGTTCTAATGGGCTTTTCTGTACCGTTTAACGATGCTTCAGCATAGCGAAGGTTAATCCGGAACGGATTAACCTCGCTATGCGAGGCACCACTGTAGATATCCATTCTTTAATTATAAGGTTTGGCAAGGGATAGTAAAACCAGTTTTAGCAGAGAATAAACTAAGAGTAATAAAAACCATATGGAAGACTAGCTTGAAAAACTTGGTAGCTCTTAATTACGGCTAATGCTTGTATAATGAAATAGTGATTGCAATAGTAGCTCTTGTATGGATTTTTAACAACTTGTACAAAAATTTCTTTAATTCCAGTAGATAGTTATAAATGTGCTGTCTCCATATTAATATCTGTTGTTCATATTCATATTTGTAGTCATCAGTCAAGTTTCTTTGACTAATTCTAACTTTTTGTCAAAGCAACACCTTAACTTTTAAGTTGAAATTGCTGCATTTGATAGGGAATGTTTTTCATTTTAAATTTATTTTAAAAATGCACAGTTTTCTTTGGAGAAGAAAGTTTGAATCTTTGAATATCAAGGCAGCTAAATTGAAATGTATTTAAATATTTAAGCTCATTATTGGTTTTGTGTGCTTGACAGTTGCTCTTCAAAAGATGGACTCCATGCTTTCATCTGAAGGTGCCTGGATATCGCAGTATAAAGATATCACTGATGTAGATGAAATGAAAGTCCCAGACTGTGCTGAAACTTTTATGACTTTGCTCCTGGTTATCACAGGTAATTATAAGATTTCTGGCACTTTGCTTTGGTTGTTTAATAATTCAAGAACTGTAACATATTCAATAAGAAAGTCAACGTTGTGTCAGCAGTGTGGTGTCAGAGGAATAACAGGTGGAAATGGGTTGGGGTTTACATTTGACAAATATGTTCTTGTTGATTATTCTTCCTTTTTGAACTTCTATGAATAATTAAAAAAATAGAGATCAGAACTTTTATATCCACAGGAGGCTAGCTAATTGTCAACATGGACACATTTGGCAATTATTGCTGAAGCAATTCACTTAAAGAATTTGCAGAAACCTGGAAAATGTAAAAACATTTTTTCCTGCGTTTTATGGTGTATGTTAGGTGGAAGTGTACTTTGAGTAACATGGAGCAACATCAATGGATTTGATCCAGAAAAAGTTATCTGTTGCAGTGAAACTCGATCCATGTCTACTCAGAAACAACTCCTACTTAGTTCAGTAGGATTAACCTCCAAGAAAGTATGTATGGGAATGCAGCCTAAATTGCATTGAAATCAGTAAGGAAAGGATAAACAGTTGACTATCTTAAATTCCCTTTGTTCCAGTGGGATTAAAGAGAGACTCACCTTTTCTGGACCCAGCCCAGTGGGTTTTTAGTTGGATACTACTGTTTTGTTATTTGCCATGGTTCTTACGCAGTGGTCTGTAGGTGAATTGAGAACCAACATAAATTATTGATTATCCTTCTCTGCCTTCTGATGGATTGTTTGTTTAAAAAGTAGCAATTACACGAGCCTTTAAAATATATATTAAAATAATGTAAATACCACATCTCTTGCAATCTTCTGCACAGATAGGTATAAGCATCTCCCTACAGCTGCCAGAAAGCTACAGTTCCTAGAGTTACAAAAAGAATTGGTGGATGACTTCAGGATACGACTTACTCAAGTGATGAAGGAAGAAACCAGAGCACCTTTAGCTTTCCGGTATTGTGCAATCCTTAATGCCGTCAACTACATCGCAACTGTTTTAGCAGACTGGGCTGACAATCTTGTAAGTGATTATTTTGCATAATTCTATTTGTCACATATGAATTACTGAAATAGAATTTAAATATTTAAAGATACAAAATCGGCATTGCTTTTTATAGTCATTTTTTACACTCACAAGTCAGAGGTACGAGGGGGTGCTGATAAGTATCGGGCCTTTCCCAGAAAAAATTGAGCTAGGAAACTATAAATTGCAGGGTGTATTGGCCAATTTGCCTATATTCAATGGTGCAAAAATCAACTACCCATAATTTTAACTTAACTTTCATTTTCCTGTCCAAAGTGAACATGGCGGCACCTCCAGAAAAGTTCAATGTGGAAGAGCATAGGACCATAATCAAGTTCCTGTTTCTCCAAGGGAAAGATGCAAAGCAGATCCATGATGAAATCTCACAAACTATGGGTGACTGTGGCCCTTCATATGCAACAGTTAAATGTTGGGTTGTCAATTTTAAAACTGGCCATTTCAGTGTTGAAAGTGAGAAACCCAGTGGAAGGCCTGTTTCTGTCTCTGTGCCTGCAAATGTGAAAGCCATCCATGACATGATCATGGAGGACCGCCAAATTTCAGCCAAAAGTATTGCTATATATCTGAGAATATCACGTGAGAGAGTTGGTGCCATTATCCACAACGAGTTGGAAATGAGAAAGCTGGCAGCAAAGTGGATCCCCAAACCTTTGACAACCAAACAAAAGAGGAAACATGTGGAGTCATCGGTGGCTGTTTTGGAACATTTTGCAAGAAATGAGTCAGATTTTCCTGGGCAAACTGGTAACTGGTGATGAATTTCCTGGGCAAACTGGTAACTGGTGATGAGTTACCAGTTACCAGACATGGATCTACTGTTATGATTCTGAGACAAAGGAACAGTCTAAGGAATAGAGGTACAGTGGTTCCCCTAGTCCAAAGAAGTTCCGAGTGCAAAGGTTGGTGCAGAAGCAAATGGCAACAGTTTTTTGGGATAAGAAGGGAGTTCTGCTGGTGGACTACCTCCAACAGGGTTCAACCATCAATGCGAAATATTACTGTGCTTTATTGACGAAGTTGAGGCAAAACATCAAGGAAGAACATAGCGGAAAGCTCCCTAAAGGTGTCATCCTGTTGCATGACAATGCCTCGTCACCCACTGCAGGTGAAACAATGGCAAAACTGACCTCCTTAGCTTTCAAGTGATGCCCCATCCACCCTATTCTCCCAACCTGGCTCCTTCTGACTATTATCTGTTCCCCAAACTCCAAAAACACCTAAAGGGACAACAATTTGGGAGTGTTCTGGAGGCAACTAATGCTGCGAATGAGTGGCATTAGTCCGAAGAATTTTATTTGCAGGGACTTAAGAAGCTGCAGGACGGATGTCGCAAATGCATTGACTTCCTGGGGGGATATGTAGAATACTTTGGCAGTTACAGTTTTCTAGCTCAATTTTTTCTGGGAAAGGCTCAATACTTATCAGCAGCCCCTCGTAAGAGATATCTAATTTCAAGAACATTTCATGTATGTAACACAAGTAGCGACCTTTTCTCCATTCATCTAGCTCAATATTGCCTACACTGGATGTGAGGAACCTGTTAGCAATACGACACCGTCTGCATTCCCTCTGACAAAGAGCAAAGTTAAGAGGGCATATCTGCACTGCTTCATGGTCTTTTCTACCCCACTGCTTAGATATCACCAGATGTGTCAGCTTAGCAAAATAGTTGGGGGGTGGGAGGGAGCAGTATTTCTATCAGCCTCACCCCATTTAATCCCAATCTGCTGCTCAGGTATCCCTGAGGGCAGAATATTTTTCTTTTGTGATGGATGTATATGTGTGTCATTACATTGATGGTGGCAGAAGCATGGATGGTTGGGGTTTGTGAGTTTTTGTATGCAGTTATAAATTCTTAATAGAGACAATTAGAAGAGCATTGTAGGGTGGTGAGACAGAAAGGAGGTGAGGTTTTGACTTTTCTCATCACTGGGTTCCTCCACTGCCATCCCACCCCACCCCCCCCGAAGAAAGGTTCTTTTGGTTCAATATGATGAGTAGTGGCTTTCTTCAGTTTCTAGCTGAGATCAATCGCAACATCCTACCTGATTTTTTATTTGATCTGTTTATGATAAGTGTTGAATCTGGAAGCTTTTGTATGCAAAGCTTCTACCGCTAAGCTACAATCCCTCCTCCTGTTGAAAACATTATTTGTGTTACAGCAATTTGAAACGATCAGTAGTTCAGCTACTATTTTAAATAACCTGGAAATGTATACTGTACTTTGGTGGTGGTGCTTATGTGTGTGGTCTCTCTATTTGTGTAGTTCTTCTTGCAGCTTCAGCAGGCAGCCTTGGAAGTAGACAGCAACACACTTAGTAAGCTACAGCTCGGACAACTGGCTTCTATGGAAAGCTCTGTCTTTGATGACATGATTAACCTCTTGGAACGCCTGAAACATGATATGCTCACTCGCCAAGTAGATCATGTCTTCAGGGAGGTCAAAGATGCTGCTAAGATGTACAGAAAAGAAAGGTAAAGTTTGGATTGTTTTAATATTGAGCTTCTAATTCAAATCTGTTGTTTAGAAGGAGTGATGAGAAACGATATTGACTCCTCAAAAGACATAAAGTAACTTTTTGCGAGCGCCCCCACTAACATAGATTTTATTGTTCACTGTCCCCAATCCTATTCACATATGCAGTGAAGACCCTAACAAACGTAGTCAGGTCTGACACTGTTCTGAAAGATGTTGTCATAAATGAATGTACAGTGGTGCCTCGCTTAACGAGCGCCCCGATTAACTATGAATCCGCATAGTGATTGAGTTTTTGCGATTGCAAAAGCGATCACATAACTATGTTTTAGGTAGGTAAAAATTGCTTTGCGATGATCGCGGGGAAGTGCTTCCCTGGGATAATCCCAAAGGACCCGCCAATCAGCTGTGTTGCGAGGGGTGAAATGAATGTACAGTGGTGCCTCGCTTAACGAGCGCCCCGATTAACTATGAATCCGCATAGTGATTGAGTTTTTGCGATTGCAAAAGCGATCACATAACTATGTTTTAGGTAGGTAAAAATTGCTTTGCGATGATCGCGGGGAAGTGCTTCCCTGGGATAATCCCAAAGGACCCGCCAATCAGCTGTGTTGCGAGGGGTGGAGAGAGAGAGCGCCGAAGCACAGCTGATTGGCGGGGGTTTGCGAAGATCACGGGGAAGCCATCATCGCAAACCCCCGCTGATCAGCTGTCTTTCTCTCTCTCTTCTTCGCCAGGGTGGCAGCGCCACCTCAGTCTCCCTGCCAAGGCTGGAGCTGTGAGGGGAGAGAGAGAGAGCGCCGAAGCACAGCTGATCGGCGGGCCTTTGGGATAATCACGGGGAAGCACTCCCCCGGAATCATCCCAAAGGCCCCATTTTCGCACAGCTGATTGGCGGTTCCAAAATGGCCGCCCGCTGTGTTACCTCGCTTTAGAGGCACCGAAAATGGCCGCCCCATGGAGGATTTTCGCATGTGAGTTTTTAAGTCCATAGGAACGCATTAAACACGTTTTAATGTGTTCCTATGGGCTTTTTTGTTCTGCATAGCAATGAATCCGTATAGCGACGATTTTTTCGGAACGGATTATCGTCGCTATGCGGGGCACCACTGTAAATGTCTAATTAGCATTTTTGTTCATAACTTGGCTTCCACAACTCCAAGCCTACTAGGGGGCCTATTCCACTTTATACATATGCTAAATACCTTTGGAGAGGTCTAGCATTTAACCAGTCGGTGAAAGAGATGGAAGCCTTACGCTCTGTAACAGGAATCGCAGTGAGCTACTTTCCAAGACTATATCCTTAAATTTTAAACCACTTTGGAATGAATTAAGAGAACAGTTGAATGGCTGGAAAAAAAACTTTCATAGTTTGGCTGCATATCAACAATTAAATCAACAGTTTTACTGCAGATTGCGTTTCTTCTTCATGGTCTCTGTGAATGCACACAAATGGGTTAAACTGCCCCTGCGCAGGACTCTTCAGAATATTCTGGGTCTTAAATATGACCAATTAAATATCTCCCTGTGTTGTGCATGCTCTGCCCGCCTGCGGTACCTCAGTTCTTTTTTGCACCGCTGCAATCGGACTACAGTGGTGTCTCGCATAGTGATCGCTCCATTTTACGATGAAATCGCTTTGCGATGAAGTTTTTGCGATTGCAAAAGCAATTGCTTTGCGATGTTCCCTATGGGTTTTTTTCGCTTTGCAATGATCGGTTTCCTGCTTCGGGAACCGAGCATCACAAAGCGATGATTTTTTAACAGCTGATTGGTGGTTTCAAAATGGCCACTGGGTAAACAAAATGGCCACCCGTTGTTTTCTGGGGCGGATTCCTCGCTTAAGAGGCACCGAAAATGGCCGTGCTATGGAGGATCTTCGCTGAACGGTGAGTTTTAAGCCCATAGGAACACATTAATCGCGGTTTAATGCGTTTCTATGGGCTTTTTATTTTCACATTGCAACATTTTCGTTCTGCGAAATTTTTGCAGAACAAATTGACGTCGCAATGCGAGGCACCACTGTACTTCGAGTCACTTAGAGCTTATTCTTCATTGAAAATGTTCTGGTTTGACCTTGGACTGCTTCTGACTATGATTTTTATCTGGCTTATGGACTCAGACTGACCTGACTTTCAATTTTTGCTTTGATTCTGCATCAGGACTGCTGTTACTGATGTTTCCTGTGAGTTCTTTCCGTTATCAATACTATCCGTTTGGTTCCCGCCAAATTTTATGGCCTTTTCAGGCCTGTTCAAATGTTGTACGTCGTGTGCTAATAAAATCCCTTTCACTGACGGCCACGACTGCTGCTTATTTTGTTTGGGGAAAAGACATCAGCCCGGTTCTTGCCAGGAGTGCAAGAAACTAACCAAACCCACCTTGAAGCTCCGTTTGCAACGACTCCGCTCCTATCTGTGGGGAAAGTCGTTGAAACCACCGGGCCCGACAGCTATGGAGCCTACTGTTCCGACTGCTCCTCCTACTCCTCACCCCGACCCAGCTGCTTCCCCGGCACTGGCTACCCCGTTCTCCAGGGCCTCTTTGAAGATGTTGAAGTCAAAGAAATCTTTGGCGCCGAGTATGACATTGATATCGAAGGCACCTTTTAAGGACCCTAAGAAGAAGAAGGAAGTGGCTAAGCAGAAAAAGCACCCTTCCAAGTCAGTCCAGCTTAAGGAACCTCCTCCGGTTCAAGTTACCCTGCTCTCACCCATATTGGAGGAGTCTTCCACGGAACTACATGACCCTGACTCGTTTTCGGAGGAGAATGGCTTTCTGGTGCAGCCATAGGTGTCAATGTCAATTCCGAGCCTGTCTCTGACGCAAGGCCATTCTGAGGCTGAGATTATTGCCAGCCTGGCCTTGGCCCATTTGAGCCCTATATCTATTAGGCAGGCAGCAGTGGCTCAGTTGTCAGACCCGGAGGAGTCGCCACAGCAATCTCCTCTGTGGAAGCATCTTACAAAGCGTCGGCACATTTCTCCCGACTGACAGCTTCCTCGACATCGGGATGTAATAGTACTCCTGCATCCATCGCGGTGTCATGCTTTGGCGGAATATGAGGAGCCGCTTTATGTTGAAATGGAACCGCGTGCCGGTTGATGTCAATATCATGGGTACAACATCGATCCCGCATATGACACCGAGGACTATGTCAGGCCAAAGGGGGTTCGATACTTTAATGCTTTGTCTGTCATCTTTATTGACCTCACCAACTCGACGTTGGCATCGAGCCTATTTCCAGCTCGACCAAATAACCGCGAAGTCTCCTTCTAAGTGCCAACATCAGGACTGGCATGCGTTTCATCCGGAAAAGTGTCCTAGAGCTCCTTCGGTACCGTTGCCTTCGGTATCGCATTCTAAGGTGGCCCATACTCAAACATCTTGTGCACCCTCAAGATCCACTCATCCACCTGAGGTAGAGGTGTGTGCACCAGTTCCATAACCTGCAGCCTCCGTGTCAAGAGCTCACCGGCACTCACCAAACTCTATAGTCATGCAATCAAACCAGTCCAGAGCAGGAAACCATTCAAAGGTCACCCCTAACAACAGGGAGGGCTGCAAATTAGATGTGCTAGGCCATTGACTCTACTCCTTGGCCTCATTTGTTACGTGAGTCTCCAACTGTTAAGTGGCTATGAGCGCTTATCAGAGGCAGAGGCAGTTATGGAATAAAATCTTACCAATTCTCCAAGGTGCCCCTGAAGAAACTAGAACTGCAGCACTAAACACTCACCTGGAAGCTATGACACTGGCCAAACAACACTGCAGATGCAGCTTCAAAGGCCATGACATCGGCCATTGCTCTTAGGGGACACGTCTGGTTGCATTCATCAGGCATCAACAATGATGCTAGGTCATGGATTGAAGAACTTCTGTTTGATGGAGCTGGACTGTTTAATGAAAAAACAGATGAGGTGATGGAGAAGATTATAAAAACAGCTTGATCCAACAGCCTAAATTCCAACGATAGCAATGGCACAGACCCTTCACCTCCCATCAGTCATATCAGCACTCATATCACTAACCTTATCAGCAATCCTGCCGCCCGTATAAACCTCCGCAGGAAAGATCAAATCCTCCTCCACCTTCTGCTACCGTGTCCTTCTGGTCTCAGGCTTCTGGTCATCAGAATTTCCGTCGCCCTGCCAAGAAGGGCAAACAATATCTTTGACTCTCCTCCACTGAATCCTCTTTCAACCTTTCCTGCCTTCCTTGGCTAGCCCCCTTTCTTGACAAGTGGTCTACCTACACCAGGGACACGGGTGCTCGCCATCGTACATTTTGGTTACTTGTTAGAGTTCTCAGTTCTTCCTCCCTTTGGTCATCTGAGGATCACTACTTATCTGAGGGAGGCGGGGCGGCCCTTCGTGCTTGTGCTCTTGGACGCATGTGCAAAGTGTTGGGGGAATGCACGTGCCACCCACTGCTTCATGCATGCGCAGGAGCACGTGCCTGCAGTGGTGGAAGCTTGGGAGCCTGAGCATGGCCGGGGTGTTCTGGCCGCTTGCCTTCCGACGGGCCCCTTGCTGCCCTCCATGGGAAATTCAAATGGCGGAATCAATGTTGGGGGAACGCCGCCGCCGGGAGGCCAGCAGCCTAAGGAATGCTCCCCCTTTCTTCCTCTGTTCAGATCTGTGGCAAAAAAAGGCAGGAGGAAAAGGAAGACATCCCCTGCACACACACACAGACACACACCATCACACCCCAAGCTCCGGCTTGCAAAAGATGCCCCGCTTTGCAGGTCTGCTTCCAGCACTCCAGCAGCATTCCTAGGTACCATCCAGAGACACTGGGATGCCGCCGCCTCCTGTCCCACCTTTCTCCTCCTTCCTCCAGCAGGAAAAAGCTGGTGTCCCGACTCCACCTGTCCTCCCCACAGCCTCTCCCTCTCTCGATGCTTTCCCCTCCTTTCTCCCCCTTACCTCAGATGCACCATCCACGTGCACCGCTGCCACTGCTTTCTGTGCCTTTTTCGGGACTCTTGGGCTCCACTCCCCCACTGCTTTGTGATTGCGCAGGAGCACATGCGGCGGAAGCCTGGGAGCGGGTGCTCCCTCCAGCCACTCGCCTCCTGATGGGCTCCTTACTGCCCTCCGCACAGGAAATTCAAATGGTGGAATCAACGTTGGGGGAATGCAGCTGCCGGGAGGCTAGCAGCTGGAGCACCCAGCCAGGCTCAGCCTCCCAGCTCTTGTCCAACCCCGTCGCTGCTACCGGGAGGCAGCAGCTGGAGCACCCGACCATGCTCAGCCTCCTGGCTCTTGGCCACCCCTTCGCTGCCGCCACTGGGCTGCAAAGACAGACCTCCCACCCCGCCCCATGGATCACTGAGTCACAGTGGAGGCACATTAAACTCCTAACCTCTGGTTTTGCAGCCAGATACTTAAAATACTGAGCTCTCCAGCAGTTAAATATTATGGTACAAGTTTTTTTACTTGAAAGGGTCATCTGCATGACTGTGCTTCAGGTAGAAAAGTAATAGTAGATTGGCCTTGCTCTTCATTACTAATATGCTGCAAAAATGATCATAGTAAAATGGCTTATTTAATTAAATAGATTAATTAAATTTTTGTTGCCTTTCTCCCAGTTATCGACCCATGACAGTTCACAAATTATTAAGAACTAAACCAGTTAAAAACATAATTTCTGAAATTCGCCACCACTGGGCTAATTTCTGCTACTTCCAGAAATTAAAGACTCCTTCCATCCCATGGCCTCTAATGATGGCCCCATGACAAAAGGCATTCCAAAGGAGCCTTATGATCTTTAGGAAGAATCAGAAATATTTAACTTCAAAATATGTTAACACCACCACATCTGGGAATGTTGCTTGATTTCAGTTATAAAGTCTTTAGCCAAAAATATTCACTCAACATTTAACTGAGTCAGGGGCATTTAGCTGCAAGAGGGTGGGTGGAGGAACATTGGTTCCTATCCAAAAGACAAAGCTCCTCCCACATGCCAGTGGCAAAAGGTGGCTAGAATATCTTTAGATATTAAGAGATGCCTTTGCCAAATCTTCTTCTTTTGAGTTTCAATAGGAATTTCATGGAGTCTGCCGTTGAGTTACTTGGGACCTCCAGACAGGAACTGAACTGGATGTCCTGCTGGGTTAATAAATTTGAAGGCAAACATGTAGGCAAAGTTCAGGTTGGTTGTGGTAGATATGAAAGCCAAGTGTGGTGTAGTGGTAGAGTATCTGACTACAATTAAGAAGACCTGGGTTCAAATCCCTGCTCAGCCATGGAAACTAATTGAGGATACTAATATTACTATTAGGTTGCCATAACTCAGAAACAACTTGACATGGCAGATAATGTATTTTGGTATTGCTTATGTTTCTTGGTTTTGTATTCATTAATCCTTTTATTATTGTATACTCATTGTAACTAACTTAGATACTGTATCTTGATGGTTGTGAGGCACCTTTGGTCCTTTTCAAGGAGAAGGAAGGTTAAAAATATTTTAAATAAATAAGTAAGTAAGTAAACAAATAAAATGCAGTGATTTTTTTTCTCCCAGGTGGCTCTCTTTGCCATCCCAATCAGAACAGGCAATGATGACCCTGTCAACGACTGCCTGCCCGCTGCTGCTTACCTTGCGAGACCGGCTACTACAACTAGAGCAGCAGCTTTGCTACTCATTATTCAAAATCTTCTGGCAAATGCTTGCAGAGAAGGTGGATTTGTTTATCTATCAAGAAGTAAGTACCTCTAGTGTGTCAGGAGTTGCACAACAAGAAGTGCTAGACATTTTTTAACATTTCATCTATTACCTGTGTGCTATATATAGGTAATTTTGGCCAATCACTTCAATGAAGGAGGAGCAGCACAACTCCAGTTTGACATGACTAGGAACCTTTTCCCTTTATTTTCACATTACTGCAAGCGACCAGAGAATTATTTTAAACAGTAAGTAAAAATATTTCACTTTAGACAGAGCTTTTTTTGTATGAAAGACATCCCTCTGTTTTCCCAAGCCATTTTCTGAGGGGAAAATGTTTAAACCGGGGACCAACAATGTCCTTTGTTAATGGGCCACAAATGGCAATAATTTAGATTTCGCTTTCACTGCTCCTCACGAGCACCTCCTCCTTCTCCAGGCCAGGACACAAACATGCACATCTTCTTTCTCACCATCCTCTGAACTTCAAAATGTTGAACAGTTTTCTATATGAAACTATTTTTTTTCACAACAATATAAAGCTTATTAATTGATAGTAATAGCTTACACCTGGGCATTTCTCAAGGAACAGCAACTTTAGAGTGAAATAAATTAATCAGAATGCAATAGTCAAATGACAGCTCACTTCTGAAAGCATCCTGTGTATTTTTCAATTTTCTGTGAAGTGTTAGAAGCACATGCCTTGTATATAACAAGTTAAGGCCTGAGCCTCTGGATTGGGTCCAGAGTAAGGTGTGTGCAAGTGAATTAAGTGCATTTGCACCTCTTTATAGTTGTCCCATGAAAATACTACACAGAGGATTGGGGCAGCCAATAGGATAGGGTTAGCTGTAGTGCAAGGGGAAGGAGAAGGATCCCTGAAAATCAGGCTAACATACCCTCAGTGACAGAGTATTTCCATCTATAAAAAGCAAATTGCAAGCCAACCCACTATGTGCTCTAGCGCAATCGGATAAATGTTTCAGGGGCTAGTCACATGGCACAAAAGGCTTCTATTTGAGAAACTCCTGAAATCCTACACTAGTGAGGGAACCAGTTGATTGTGTGGCTGTCTCCTAAATTTGAAACTGCATCTTTCTTGTTTTTCTTCCACAGCATAAAAGAGGCTTGTATTGTACTGAATTTAAATGTTGGCTCAGCCCTGCTCTTGAAAGATGTGCTGCAGTCGGCCACTGAAAACAGAACTGGTACCATCTTGAATTCAGATCAGCCCACTGCTGTAGCAGCTTTAAATGAACTTGGAATTTACAAGTTAGCTCAACAGGATGTTGAGATTCTTCTTAACCTAAGAACAAACTGGCCTGTTACTGCGAAATAAGTCAAATAATTAAGTAGACAGAGATAATCCACGTTGTATTAATAAAAAAAACATTGACCTTTCAATGATAAATCATTTTCAAGGCTGTGTATCAAGTTATTGTGGGTAGTTTCAAACTTATATGCTGTTATTAATGTCCTAAATTCACATGGCTGATGATGTTGAGGCCAGCTTCGCTTCTTAGATGGCAACAGTGCAGTATGCAATTTGGTTTCAAGCTTCCCCTCAGCTAGTAGTTTAGAATTTATGGTCCAGCTCTTAAAACAGAGAACAGACAGCTGCTACCCTTCCCCCTTTTTCTGCCTTTTCGAAACTCAAATAATTTATTTTTGGCTAGGGGAGGAAAGGATTCCCAGGAGCATGGCCTGCTTCTAACAAAGTTGGGATTAGGAATTTAGTTAAACCACTAATAACAGTCAATTTAAACCTAATTAAAGCAAAATAAATACTTTTACCTGGTGGATGATTTCTATAGCATAGTTTAGTACGTTACTGTGGCCAAATTCCTATTGCGTAGCGTACTAATTTGCAGTACACTAAGCCTTTGAATCAGTGGTTAATTTGGTGAGTCAACTCTTCCATAAATTCCATTGATTCAAATTGTTGACTTGCTTTAGCATAGTAAGTTGCAGAGAGAGTAGACCCATTTGAATCAATGGAACTTATGGAATGTCGAAATAGGGCCTTCTCGGCTGTTGCCCCCCAACTTTGGAATGCCCTCCCTATAGAGATCCGCCTGGCTCCAACACTTTTGGTTTTTCGGTGCCAGGCAAAGACTTTTCTGTTTAGCCAGCATTTTAATTAAACAGTATTCTCTAGCTGGCCATATGAGCAGCAGGACTTATTAATATTAATTTTTTAAGAATTGTTTTAATATAGGATCTTTTATATTTTCTATTTTAATGTTTTTAATGTTTTTAAGTTTTAATATTATTGTACACCACCCAGAAGCCACTGGTAATGGTGCGGCTAAAAATATTGTAAATAAATAAAACAATAAATAAGAGTTGATTCACTAACTTGTAACTGAATTAGTGGGCCTTCTATAGTGCAATTTAGTAGGCTAAACAATAGGATTTTGCCCTTTGGAAATACACTTGTTAATTTGGTGAAACCCACAGGTATAAAAGCTGGGTAGTACCTTCAACTAGAAGACATTCTTTTTACTTAACACAAGCATAACAATTTTTTCTCAAGTGATTCCCAAAGGTAATCAAATAAAGCTAATTTCAGTGGAGGGCACTTTCTAACATATCATGTATGATGGGAACAAGCTCATCTTGAAGAATTTTGAGAACTGTATTATCTGTTTGAGCTAGCGGTGGTTCCCTTTGTAAGTTTCCATGACACTCAGGTTACTTTACTCTTGGTTTACAAAGGCTTCTTTAGCATGGTCTCTTTAAATTTACAAATTAGTAAAATGTATGAACAACAATTCTACATTTCATACATTTGACTAAGGTTTTCATTTCATTTCATTTTGCCGCCCAGAGTAGACTATCTGTCTAGATGGGCGAGGTATAAATCTAATTAATTAATAAGTCATTAAACTAACTTATCTGTAGTATAGATAATGTAAAAGATCCCCAAATGTGCTGATTATGAAAATAGCAATATAAATATGGAAGTATAAACGCTGGCTCTATGGCTTGAAGAGCGGATGTGCTGATTATGAAAATAACAGTATAAATATGGAAGTATAAAGTCACAGAACTTTTTTTTTGAGTTGGTAATCATAGAAACATATTCTCTCTGGCAGTACTGATGTGTAACAAAATAACATGTCATTAAGCCTACATGAATCACAGGGCTGAACAAAAAAACAAACAAACCCCCACTGAAATCAAACTTCTTATTTTTGACTATGAGATTACCTTCATTTATTTGAGGGTTTTTTCAAAGTATTTCAGTACAATATTTGTAAAGGAAAGATGAAATTTATTATCTTGTATAATGGTAGAGTTGATATATCCAGTTAAGACTGATAAAAATGAAATTATTTGTTTTTCAAAAAGTAAAAGTACATTCAGTGTTAGATCAGAAGACTCGCAATTAAAATGCTGCCCACATTTCAGCATACTTTTTCATCCTAGAAGGGAAATAGAGAACCATAATGAATACATATGAACTCCCCACCTGCGTATGATTGCATATTTACACAATTTGTGTGTATACTACTTGAAATGGGATCCAGATTTAGATACATGCCAGTTTCGGGGAGGGGGGGACTCTGACAATTGGATGGAAACTGCTTCTGTGAGTGCCTCCATCCCTAATATGCAAATCTCTGTTCCAACCCAATGTCTTACAGAATTATTTGCCTACCTTTTTAAAGTTTAGATACTTTATCCAGGACTCACATTTTTTTCCATTTTCCTGTAGCGACAGAGGTTCCCTCTACAGTAAAGTCTTTCATGTAGTTCTGATGGAGTGACTGGATATTGTGCAAGTTTTGAGTCACCGCACAATGAAAACACCACTGTAGTGATCACATGCAGTTAACAGTGGTTCTAGTTGTGGATGGTACCAGCATTACAATAAGGTGAAAGCTTTACACTGGCCAAAAGTTCAACCTCTGGGCCAACAAAGACTGGATCTTAGGAACATTTGCCCATTAAATGTTACACCAAGATGTGAGCAGAAAAGGAAAGGGCAGCTGGGTAGTGTGAGAAATGTAAGCATATATTGTCTCATCTGGTCCACTGCCACACCAACAGTAGATATGTCTATAATGCCTTATAATAATCATCTTTGAACTGCAGAACTGGAAGGGATCCTATAGATAATCAAGTCCAGCCCCTGTCAAGGAGGCACATTTGGAATTGAACTCCCAACTTCTGCAGCCAGATGCCTAAACCACTGAGCTATAGTGTTCCAGATCAACTTACACATTTTCCTTGAAGACACTTTGTGTAATTAAGTCAGTTTCTCCATAAGGTTCATCTTTACTGCTCAGTCCCAATGATTCAAGTGCTAAAATATTGGAAGAAATGAAAACGTCTGAGAAATTAACTTTTGTCTTAGCAGTTTGTTATATTCAAATGAACCTGGTTCTCATTTTCTTTTATGTTTTGATTCAGTTTATCCTAGTGGCTGCCAACTCTCACTCCCCACATACTGCTGATCCGTCATCCCTGGGCAGGTGGTGGGGTGATATCTGGGGCTCTAAGTTTACAAACCTTGAATTTATATATGAAAAGCCTTAGGTTATGTACACTTACTGCATGAAGAAAGCAGTGGAATCACATTGTAACTGATCTAGCTAGAGATTAAAGAGCTAATGAGATATTATCACAAATTATGGAGATCTTATATTCAGAAACATTTACAGTACAATACAGCTGCATTTCTCCTAAATAATTACTTCAGAACATTTCTGCTAAATTATTTCTCTCCCACCCATGAAGTAGGCAGAGACCTAGTAGAGTCCCACAGTACCATGTGCAAATGCTTTACATGTCCTTGGAGAGAACCATTGTGTGTGGAGACATTTCCCATGCTGGCATTTCCTTGCTTGTTCAGTTGAACATAGACTTGTGAGAGTTTAAACTTGGTAGACCAGCTACCCCAGATAATTACACATACACTGCTGTTGGCTCTTTGCATTAACATTTATAAACTGGTAAAGGAAACAATGAGTTTTACCAAATGTGTAATGTAAGTGTAAGGTTTTTAACACTAAGTTTCTCCAAAGATTATACAGACTATTTTTGAAGCGTTGGCTTCAAAATATCTTTGTCTATTTCCACTCTTCAAGAGAATCTTTATCTAAAAGATAAGTTTGTAGAATACAATAGAGTACCAACCTCCTTTGTATTGTTTTACGTTTATGTAGCCTTCACCTGGAACATCTAGCATCTCAAACATTGAATCCAGGTTAGATTCATCCATAAGATTGGGAAAATCCACACCAGTCAGTCTTGCAACCTTTACTTTCTCCAGAATTTTTATCAAGAACTCTCTTGGTCTTTCTGTAAGACAGGAATATTGGTTGTATAGTTACTCTTTAAAGTTTAAAAATAAAACTTACCTTTTAAACATTAAAATATTCAGGCAGTAACTATTATTTAAAGCACTGAATGTTTTCTAGGTTATGTAGCAAGATTTAAAAGTGTACAGGCCTTGTCCACAGTTTTGCAAAATGAGAGAAAGAGAAAAAGCTGTGAGTCAAGAAAAAAAAGAGAAGCAAATTGTGATACCAAAACTTTCCAGTTATGTAATGATCATAGAGTATAGCCACTATTGCTACTCTGGAAGAGAAGAGAATAAATTAGTCCCATCAAGCTGATAAGATAGGATATTTCTGCTATTCTTTGAGCTACCTGGACTTCAGTAGTTGGTAGATTTGAGCTATTCAGTAAAAATTAATTAATCACTATACTGTACTTTAAGAACTAATTATAACTTTAACTTGCTTCATGCCTGACCATCTCACTTTCCTCCATCCCTTCGCCATATCAGGAGTATGTCTGTCACCTTGTGACCTGAAATTCAGTACTGTGACATAAGAGCTGTCCTCGTGCTTAACAATTTCTTCTAGTTTGTTTTTTTTTATCATCCCAGACAGGCAGCAAAACATGTTCAAAAATCTCTATAAAATTCAGTGAAAGAGGCAAGGCACAGGCTATAGGAAGGAAACTCTGCTGCTTACCTATCTTAGAATTCCTCCTTCATTTCCCATCCTTTCTTCAACTCTACCTGTATTTCCCTCCATTCAAGCTGCTCCAAGGGCCAGGTGCCTTCTAGGACAATGTTCAATGAGATACAGTTTCCCCATAGGCAGAAGGGGAGAGAAACCAGATTTGATGGAAGTTCCTTCCATTTGTATCTGATCTCTATTATTCATTCATTCACTCATTCATTCATTTATTTATTCTATTTATATCCTGCATATCTGGTCTTGCGACCACTCTAGGCGGCCTACAAACACATAAGACAACAAATAAATATAAAAAAGAAATTATTACATTAAATAGCCAGTTCTTCAAGATGGAGAAGAGAGAAAAAAACCAAAAAACCAAAAAAGAAGAAGAGAACCAAATATTAACTGGAGGGAAGGCCTGCCTGAACATCCATGTTTTTAATTGGTTTTTAAAAATACCCAGCGAAGGGGCTGCACGAATCTCCGGAGGCAGATTGTTCCAGAGACAAGGAGCCACCGCCGAGAAGGAACGGTTTATTTTTTTTTTCCTTCCGGGCCTCCCTCTAACCCAACTAAGCCTTTATTTCTGCAAAACAAAATTTACCTTTCCTATGCACACTAGCACCAAAGTTTTCTTGTCTCAGTTATGCCTACTCCATATAGTTAGGATGCTTTTACTGCAGTCTGAAATTTGTGTGACAGAAACCAAGAGGGACGTGGTGGCGCTGTGGGTTAAACCACAGAAGCCTCTGTGTTGGAAGGTCAGAAGACCTGCAGTCGTAAGATCAAATCCACGCGACAGAGAGCTCCCATTGCTTGTCCCAGCTCCTGCCAACCTAGCAGTTCGAAAGCATGCAAAATGCAGAAATGCAAGTAGATAAATAGGTACCACTTTGGTGGGAAGGTAAACTGCGTTCTGTGTCTAGTCACGCTGGCCATGTGACCACGGAAACTGTCTTCGGACAAACGCTAGCTCTATGGGTTGGAAACAGAGATGAGCACTGTGGCCTAGTCAGACACGACTGGACAAATTGTCAAGGGGAACCTTTACCTTTTTTCTTACATATACTTCTATGGTTGGAGAGAGGCAGAAGGCTGTCATCCTACACTAAGCTGGAAGCAAGCATACTTAAGCTTGCCGTTGAGTAGGCAAAATAATAATGTTAGTTTGTGGGTTTCTAGAAGCCCCCCTCCTGTAAATCTGTTCACATATAGGAGTAGGGATGAACTGTGTCCAAACATGTTCTAATCATTATGATAAGTTTTCAAAGTACTTTACAAGCTCTGAAGGGATGTGAAAAGTAAACACCCATCATTATCCTTGTGGCGTTTCCCCCCAGGTGTTCTCTCAACATTTGTTGTCCTGCTAGTTCCTGCCCCCCACCCCAAGTGCTCTGGTCTGAGGAAGTGAATTTGATCCATGAACACTCACATTGAAAAGCCACCCCGAGTAGACATTGTCTAGAGGGGCGGGGTAAAAATCAAATAAATAAAATATAAAAGTTTTTAAGGTGCCACAGCATTTTAAAAATTTGTTTTTGTTCTTTTGGTTTTTTGACTGATAGAACCAAAAACTGACTCTTTATTTTGGGGCCATTTATAAAATTTGCCATGTAACCTCACTCTTATGTCTGAGGAATCGGATCTGATCTATGGAAGTTAGTTTTTAAGGTGCCACGACGTTTTTGTCTTTTTTACTTTTTGATTTTTCTTTTGTTATTGGCCGATATGTTGTTACCATCTACGTTTCCGAGGGGCGAGAAAGCTCACTTTGGGGCGCCGCCTGGGCTGCTTGCAGACCCTCGGCGAAAGGCTCTTACCTGGGCGGTGAAAGAGCAACAGTGCGCTCAAGGTGTGTAAAAGGTCCGGGATTTTATGCCGAGCCAAATACTCTCGGCCTTCGACCTCCCGGTCCATCGTCGTTGCTAGGCGACAGAGGAGAACGCTCGCAGAGCACGTGCCGTCCGAAGGGGACACCACGTGATGAATGTTGCGGCAGCCTGGCCAATCAAAGAAGAAAGTCCGTGTCCTGGCTTGACCAATCGGGCGCGTCTTGTACCCCGCGGGCTTGCCTCCCCCCGTGCTTTTGTCGGACACGCTTCTTGTGTTCCGCTGGCGCTTTAGCGAGCGGGCGCGAGGAAGGGGTGCGGCCGCCGGCGCGGGCTATTTTTAAAAAGACAGTAAAAAACTGCCTTTAACTTGTCGCACTGTCAAGTTTGAGAAAAAGTCATCCCCCCGTTTTTTTTCTGTTTAGCTTAACTGCCTTGCTCAAGTGTGTGGAGCGCAAAAATTAAGTTCAACTACTCTGAGCAGAAACGTTGGCCTGTTGAATTTCTGCCTGCCCCACACATCCAGCTATCCAGGGGAAAGAGTGCGCGGCTCCAAGTCCCGCCTTCCAGCCTTTATCTCAAGTCAAACGAAAGGGCCATTCAGCCCGTGAAGGGCGACATAGGCTTACTCAAACTGTCTCGTCCTAACCCTAGATAACGGTTTTAATTTTGGTGACAGTTCCATAAGGTGATGAAGGGGAACAGAGGAAAGGCCGTTTCCATCACAACCAAGGCAATGCAGGCCAGCTCCCATCTGCTGCCCCGCCATCATCCTGAAGAAGGGGAAAGTGTTTGCACCTCGGAGGAACAGGACACCTGTCCTTGGGATTCAACAAGTTCAGGGGCTAAGAAACCTTTGTGACGAATTGCATTAAGCCAGTTTATGCCCTTCAATGTCCCAAGTTCTACCACCTGTGCTAGATAACATTGGAGTCATCCTGGCTGCAGTGTTTTCTTTTTCTCCATGTTTGCAAAGGGTCAGGGTATGTTCAATGTGTATTTTAAAGGAATGTGGCATTAAACAAAGAAAATGTTTCACTAATTCTTTGGCAAGTAGTTAAGTGCAAGGAATGGAGGCGGATGGGCAAGATGGCTCTACACAGTAATTAGGTGTTTTACCCTGAAGTATACATGATGTTGAAGTTCATAATGAAATACGGAACAACACTACTTTTCATTTGGACTTGGAATTCCCAAAAATAGATGAGGCATAGCAGTCCAGAACAACATCCAAGTCTACTATAGTAGAGAAGCATTTGGAAGGGACCATGGAAGGCAGTGGATATGCAACCTAACCCAAGCCTAGATTTAACTCTTGTTTTCCAGGGTGGAGAGATGAAAATCTATGCAGATAGATTGCCACTTGCTGGATACAATGCTGATGTTTAAAAAGCATTCTATTTCCCAATCTCATAATGTTACTGTTACCTCAAATACTACACAGAATAAAAGTTACTAGTGTAGCTGTAGTTAGTGTTGTTGCACAATAACAAATGAAAATACATCCCTGATAAAATAATAATTTTCTTATTAAAAGTTTACAAAACATTACACAAATCGTTCTTACAAACATATAAATTATTTTATTTACAAAGCCATGTTACAAAAAAATAATAATAAAGCAAAACAAAACCAAAAAGAAATACAATCGCTCACTAGAGAATATCTCCAGGCCTGGTGTTGAACCATGGCAGTATCAGTCAGATACATGTTTGTTCTTTTTTTTTCCTTTTTTCAAAACGCTAAACCATGAAGTTTACTATTTACACCTACTTTCAACACAATTATCACAAGCATGGAATGGGTTCTCTCTGATACTGCTAATACATAAAAGGTGCAGAAGAAAGAATGAAAATACTTTAGTGTTACAAAATATGGGTTTGTAGAAAAGAAACTGACTGTACACATATGGCATTTTCTTTCAGAATGATTGGACATGCTTTCTTCAAAAGTCTTCTGGAAAATTTTTTAAAATTTGTAGTAGGAAAGCACAATAGAGGTGCAAATTCATTTCTGTGCAACAGTTAATATTCCCCATGACTGACCAGCTATGCAAAACCCACAGAGTTTTGTTAAAGTGCCATGGGTCAACAGCATAACAAAATATAAGGTGTAAATAGAAAATTCTTTTTTTCTTTTAAACAATAGTTCACTGAGAATCAGCAATTATAGAATATGCTGTATAAACTATTCTCTACAAAGGTTGTTCAGCATTATGTACATTTTTTTAACATTGATACAAAAGAAGGCATACAAGTTATCCAAGTCGTTTTTTTTAAATATGGCTGACGGGCCTATGCATTGCGTATGTGTAACAACCAAAGCTTCTGAGCCTCTATTGCTGGAAACGAATCACTTCAGGCGAATGGAGAAGGGGAGAGGAACAAACAAAACCTAACAACTTTTGAATGACAATTGAATGAATGCTATTCCAATAATACATTTCAGGCTGGTCCAGTTCCTATCCATTTTAAAAACTGTTTTGTTTTTCAGGCAAAACATTTTAGTACACAGAAAATTAAATAGCAATTTTTTATTTCTGAAGAGAAGAGGGCAACCAAAAGTGAATGGGAGGGTTTTTGTTTTTTAATACTTAGGCTTCCAAAATGTTGTCAGACCTAAGCCAAGGAAAATAAAAGGATGCACATATATAAGCAGCATTCAAGAACACTCTCCAAAGTCCAGCTTCCTACATAACAGATGTGTGGATTTCTTAACATTGTTGAATTAATCCTTCAGGTACTGTGTGGCACTATTTCTCAGAAGCAGCCACTGAATCTCACCATCAGTTTTCCCTCTAAAAGTAGAAAATGATAGTTAATTAGAGGGTGTTTTGTTTTGTTACTAAGATCTGAAAACTCCTGCAGTTGTACAACACAAAATAAATTATTTTTCTAAAAAAATCAAGGCTTTGTTTCTAAAACTGAAGACAAAAATTGTGCAAAAATAACAAAGATATGTACACATTTTTTCAGTCTGAAGAAATGTACAATAAAACATAACTCATAAAGTACATGAAAAAAATATAAACATTGCTTAAATTGTCCTAAGTTCCATATTGTTCATGAAACTATACCCATCACCTCCCAAATATAGTAAAACATAAATTATTTAAAAATTAACACTATAAAAATTACTTTAAGAATATCTTCTAATTTCCCTCCAAGGGGCTTATTCTTTACAGTTGTTAAACATTTCTTAAGTTTTAAAATCTGGCTAAAGCCTTTTTTTAAAAAAAAGAAAAAAGTAACCATCTCCCTATTTGCATTCTTTCACCTTTTCCCCCCAAGATGTAAATAAACCAGCATATTAGTGCACTTTTAACACTGTAGAAAGAAAAGTTAGCTCATCTGTAGTAATTTTGCAGTACCCTAGTATTACTGATTTCCTGATTATAAAATATACTTTTATTTTTTTAAAAAAATCAGTAATTTCTGTAAAACATTGTCAGTGCAATTCTACTGATACAAACTCAGTATGCCCTACTGTTGCAAATTCCAGAAGCCCAACTCTTTCTCTTCTCAAGAATACTTTGTTTCATTAAGGAGAATTGTAGCATGGATTCTTTGGGGCTTTCCATCTATTTATGAAGAAATTTTCATATAACCATACCCATTAAAATCTGTGGGAGCAAAATGCATAAATACTTCAGTGCATCAAGAAGATTAGAAACACCGTAATGAATAAGAAGGTGTACACTGAAATAACTGATAGAAGTCAGTGAACTCTGTGGGCATACACTTTCCTCCAAGTATTATATACTGCTGAGAAATGCACAAAACATTTTTTTATCCATAGGACAATAATAAATACAGAAGTTACTGCACATTTGAAAATAATGGAGGGTTATATTATATATCTATTTAACCCAAACAGCATTATTTTGGAATGTTCACTGCTCCCATTGTTAAAAGAAACAAAAAGGGAGAAATGCAACAATTTGCTTAAAAAGGCATCAATTCAAATCAAACCAGATTGCACATATCAGAGGCCAATGAAATGAAAACAAACCACTATTACAATTTTGTAGATTAAAAAAAAACCACCCAAAATTAAGTTAAATCTATCTGCAGGACACAAACAAAAATCTCTGGAGTAGGGCTGCTAAGATTTTGAGATGATAGGCTGGTTGCTCTTCCTTGTCATGGAAGGGTTCGTATCCTACCAGTCCGGTTTAATGTTTTCTGGAAAGAAAATAAAAGTCAAATTCAAAACTGTGCGCGCACACACACAAAAATGGTCCCATTATGCGTTCTTGTTTGCTTGCACTTTGAATCAACTATGTATTTTACGCTGAAGCTTAAACAAAAATAAACTCATTATTAATTTATTAAAAAATAATTTTCTTTTAAATATATTCCAGTTACTTAAAATCCCACAAATAGGATATTCTATGAGGTATGGACTGTCTTGCTTTAAGGAAATTGGAAAAAAATAAGAGAAAACACACACACACAAACACAATTTTGATCTGTAGAATGATAATACAGTACAAGTATAAAGGAGGGCATTTAGTAAACAACATATTTAAAGAATCTACAACCTGAATAAATAACAGAAAAACAGTAATAACAAAAGTATTGTGGCATTCTTAAGACTAACACATTAATTTCAATCTAAAGTCAAGGGCAGGTGAATCCTTAATTTGACTATTGAAATGTTCATTAATTTGTAGCAATCCAATAAATGTTTTGCCCACCCTTGCCTTTGGACTGTGTGCAAGAACCACATGGTGTTTCTTTCTTTTTTTTTCTTCTTCTAAAGATTTACTTCACTATGAGGTTTTTGAGATTGCAATCACTCCTTTAGACACACGTGCCTGCCATGTCTGTGAAAAAGGACTGTAATCTGTGAAAACTCACTTAAATAAATTTGTTAGTCTTAAAGGTGCAACAATACCTGTTTTTAGTTTCGGTCATACAAGCAATAGACTCTTTAAAATTGTTGCTTATTAAGTTTTCTCTTTTTCACTTGCATTATCAACGCACAGATTTTAAATGCACGTGTGAATTTCATTGTTTCCACAGAGACAAACCTTACCTCACAGAAATACTATAATATTTTGATTTTTGTTTTTGTTTAAACAGATCAACATCACTACCTCTTAGAAAATGATTCCTTGCATGTCATATATCTACAGCTACCTGCAGGCCCAAGCAGCAAGGAAAGGTACATATAAATAGCCAAAGAAGAACAGGTTAAACCATGCAGCTCCTACTAAGGCATTTTATTTGGTAGCAGAAAACTTCTACAGCCCAATCCTAAAATTGTTCACTTGAAAGCAAATTCAAACAAGTTCAGTCAGGCTTCCAAAACTTAAATTCCCTAGGTTGAAATTTAAAGTTATTTTTGGGGGCAAGGCAGAAATTAGGCTATGACAAACTTCATAAATTAGATTGATGGGCATAACTCCCCTTCATTTCAAGCAGGTCATTTTAATGTGTAGAAGGTATAAACAAACTGGGCAGGGGAATATAAGCAAAATATTGCTTCTCAGCTGTGGGGATATCTTTCTAAGAATATCCCCTTACACATTGCATGTGCCAATTGTACAGAAGTGCTGCAAAATACTTTTCCAGTGACACCTGATACCAGATAAAATTGATGGGGGAGGGCAGAAGTTACCCTAACATTTCTCTCAGTTGCTGGAGATTCAGGGTGCTTCCAGATGAGGCTTTTATTGTGCGATGGGCCTGCCTCATTGCCGGAATACTACAGGGGGGTCCAGACACCGTCATCTTCTACTTGTAACCCTCCCGTGTCTTTCCACTGCTTCTTCCATCTTTTTTCATACCAGAAAAAATCTGTTAAGGAGGAAAAGACGGAATAGGAGCACAATGCCTTTCGATGGTAGCGCTAAGAGCGCTCCTTCTGGAAGCACCCTCAGTCAAATTGGGGCAGAATTTCCACATGTATGGTTGAACTATTAAAAAAAATAGTCTGAGATAATTAGTTATATGCTGTCAAGTCAGAATCAACTTACAGCCGCTCCAATAGGGCTTTCAAGGTAAGTGAGAAATTTAAGGAGTGGGTTTACCAGTTCCACTCCCCCAGTGCATTTCCATGGCCAAGTAGGAATTCAAACCCTGATCTCCAGAGTCCAAGTCCATCACTCTATCTATACTACACTGGGCACCCTTGACACAAACAGAGAAGTTTAAATATGAAACTAGACCATATGTTTTGATTCTCCACTCTTACCCCAACCACCATGGATAGATTATCTGAGGTAGCAATTCCTGCAAAAGTTATATGGCCATTTGAGTCAATCCTTAAGACAAATTTAACTCAAAGTTATTTAAGTGTCTTAGATTTCTTTTAACAGTGTATGGTTAAATATACATTTCTTCCTGTTCTTTCTTTGCTAATAATAATTCTATGAATATATATTTGAACAACTTGCTTTATGCATTCAAAATCAGCTATATAAATTGAAATTCCTAACAACCTTAAGTATTTGTAAAACACTATCTGAAAATTATTACTATTTCATCTAAACTTTGTGCTAACTGTTGCATAAAAACAGAAACTTAGACTTTGATAGTGCAGCCCTGTTGCAGTCTGGTCCAATTCTACTGTCTGTAGTGGGACTTACTTCTAAGTAAACTGCTTAAGATTCCAAGCTATAACACAACGCCCTATATATCTACTAAGAGGTACATTTCACTTAACTCAGTAAGGGTTACTTCTAGGTAAGTGGGCACAAAATGGTAGCCTAATTAATTTTTTTCATGACTCTGATATAAGCAGGCAAGAGAAAGCAGGTCTTATTGCCTGTTATATTTTAACAGGCAATATGTTTTAATCAACTCTTCACACTGACAAGTCAAAGCAAACAAGCCTTGAAAATCAGATTTTCTCTTTTTTTAAAAACAATTTGTTTCCAGTAAAGCAAATTTCCTATATATCATTATTCTTTATATGGGCCATTAAGTTAGGCTTGCAAATAATTCCATAAGCTCAGAAAACTTTATATTAGGCATTCACCACAAATATAAATCATCCGTAGCACAACATCCAAAGAAAATTAAGTTTACCACCTTCTAATTTACATAGCCTTTCCTGCAGAACTGCCTGTAGGCAATTCACCACAGTGGCTTTTTCACAAACGTGCATTAAGGCATTAAATAACAAATAAATTTAGCTGGCAAAATGGACTTTGCTTGTCTACCCCCAAACCCTCAGCTTTCAACAAATTTGGTACATAATCACTAAAGCACAAGTTAAAAAACCACAACTTACTTGTTTGTTGTGCACTGGATTTGATGTACTTGAAGGACTGGATTGAGACAAAGCTACACTACTATTTTTTCCAATCTGCAAGACACAAATGGAAATCAGAAAGGGATATCAAAAGCGACAGAAACCAGTCATAAGAGCAGATAAGCTAAAAACCATAATGAAAATAAACCACAGCTCCCAACTACTCGGAAAATTTCTTCTCATTCAGCAACATCCAAGAAAAGGTGATATCTATTTCTGGTAATTGCTGAAATCCTGTTCCCAATATAACTCAAATTGAGTAATATTTGTTAGCAAACTGTTGCAAGTTACAGTGGTGCCTCGCATAGCGACGATAATCCGTGCAGCAAAAATCGTCGCTTTACGGATTCATAGCTATGCGGGGAAAAAAGCCCATAGGACTGCATTAAAACCCGTTTAATGCGTTCCTATGGGCAAAAAACTCACCTTAAAGCGAAAATCCTCCATACGGCAGCCATTTTCGCTGCCCGATAAGCGAGGAATCCGTCCCTAAACACAGCGGGCGGCCATGTTTTTAGCCGGTGGCCATTTTGGAACCGCCAATCAGCTGTTCTAAAAACATCGCTATGCAAAAATCAGTAAGCGAAACAGCTTACCGATCATCGCAAAGCGATTTTTTATCATTTAAATCATTGCAATGCGATCGCAAAAAATCATCGCTATGCGGATTCGTCGTTAAACGAAGCACTCATTAAGCGAGGCACCACTGTATATATAATCAGCATAGACATTATTTGTTGTGCACTGAGTTGTATGAATCAGTAAAAAACAGAAAATGTCTATGCTGACGTTGTAGCTTTCAGCAATTCACCACCAAAACTTAACACCATCATGTTACACCTGCAATAGCATTTTGGCCAATGTATTATGGAGATATTAGTCATTCAGGATAAATGTCCATGCCGAGTTTATTGTTACAAAGAAAACAAATCAGTCGTTTATGGAAAATGTGGTTTTAAAAATCTGTGTCTAAAGAAGTGGATTGCAATCCTCAAAAGCTCACACTGAAAAAAAGGTACAGATACAGAAGCATGACAAGCAGCATGCTCGTATTCATACAGTACAATCCTATGCCCACAAACCAAGGCTGCTGGAACTGGCTTGTTTCTTCTGAGTAGTATTTAACCATGCACCTACAGTGGTTTCCATTGTGGTAGAGCTATATCCAGCCTAAAGCAATTGTTTTGTCCCACCTACACATTAAAAACAAGATCTGACCAGCTGGTGAAAGCAAACGAAAGAATTCCTTACCTGCCGGGAGATGGAGCTGTTTGGAATATCTGGCACCGTAGAAATCAGGTTGGCAGTGCTCTTTTTGTGAACACTATTCATACCAGGCATTTTAGTGATTTTACAGGCTTTGCTACTAGAACTAGAGTTTTTACGTTTTTTCCCTTCTGATTTGTCAAAACGAAGGGGGAGAGAAGACACTGCATTGTGTGCTGCAAGGGAGTGGTCCCCTGAATGGTGAACAAGGGAGGGTACAGAGGAGTCAATACTGCTTACAACAATGCTCATGTGTTTCACTGAGTCATTTGAGTTACTTGACAATGAAGTCCGTCCTGAGGGCTCCGATTTGGCACTGAGTGGGGCGGTTCCATTGTTTGCACTGTGCACCGACATACTGTTATAGGACGATGTAGCCTGATACAAGTTCAGTGTTGAGCTGGGGTTCAAGACACAATTCTTTTTGTGAGACCCTGAAAATGAAGATGAGGAAGAAGAAGTCTGCAAAGATGAGGAGGAGGAAGAAGACGGAGGCTTTTTCTTTTTGTTACCAGAAGACTCATCGCTGCGGCACGACAGATCTCTGACCTTTGAGGATTTGCTGGTTTTTGTTTTGGATGGCTTGTGGGATGGGGAAGGGATGACTGCTGGCACTGGGGAAATGGCCGATGGTGTTTTAAATGTTTGATCTATGATACTCAGGCTGGAAGCCATGTGAGGGAAAGCTGTGGTATGTGACACAATGGAATTTGTGTCCGAGGTCGTCACAAAAGTTGGATTTGATAACATGGCTGAATTTGTTACGTAGGAAGAAGGGATTCTTGAGCTGACGGGTGTCGAAGGAATATATGCTGGACTGGGATTACTGAAAGGCTGTAAAACCGATGCTGGATATGGGGTGGTGATATGTGCTGCTGGAGAGGGCATAGGGCTATCAACCGCAGGAGGGATTTTCCTGAAAGTATAAAAGAAAATAACTCATTTGAGTTTGGATAGTTCATTTCCATCATACATCTAACTGTTCACAAAAGCAATGCATGATGAAGTGCGGAGACAACACAAAATAATGCTAGGGTGACTATTTTAACCTCCCAGTTTAAGTTTATGACATTTAAGAAACTTGATTTTGTTTCCAGAGTCTTGTAACTATAATATTAGGGTCTAGTGACACTTGATGTTTCCCTCTCAGCATGCCTCACTTGAACGCCCTATTCTGGTTGCCTTCTCTTGCACATTTTCTATCTCTACAGTATTTTGGGATGGGTGGATCAGTAAGTATAACTGTATACCATATTTCAACTGCAGTTGAACCCAATTCTATTCTGTATTTTATTTTAAATCCTTCTGATAACCCTGCATGTGTAATCTCACCTTTTCTATGGTGAACATGGACTTCAGCTTTTCACTGAGTCATCTACCAGCACTTGCTACCTCCAATTAGTCAGTATGAAATGCAAATTGGAGTATTTCCCTCAATTCTCACTATTATTGTGTAGTCTGCAGAGAAATGTTTTGGAATTCTACACCAATCTCTTCAGGCTTTCAACCATTATTAGCAACAAGCTTAGACATTTTATTGGTCCTGCTGGCTCAAAAATAATTGGTGTGAAGGAAATATAGTACCAGTCTGAATACGATTCTACAGATGACCCCACCTATTACTTCCTCTGTAGTAAGAATGGCCTTACCCTTGATTCTTGTTCTTCAACTTGTTACCATTCTACAAGAGGACCCATCATTTCAGCTCTCGACTGCTTATTCTACTCAGGATTCGGAAGCTTTGATGAAGAATTTTGTCAAAGCTGTTTAGAACATCCCTAATGAACTACACGTTAGCTGTCTCCCTCAATCAGTTCTAAAAGATGGACACAAAGAGGCCTTCACTTTGTAAAAATCATTCTATCCTTCTTTGGCAAGGTTTATTCTTTGTAATTTGACACTCTGGCTTCAATCATCCTTTTCACTGTTTATCTATGATAGAATTTAGACTGACAGGCTTCTGATTTCCACTGATTTTAAAAACTGGTCTTATGCGTCTTTCCTTCCAATCTTTTATTTAAAACGCATATTGCCTATATTTATTAAAAGACCAACATTCAACATTTGAGTTCTTTAGTAACTTAATTCTTTGTTATCCAGATACAGTTAACATGCTTTTTCCTCAACAAGGCCGAGCACTTAATTTCTGGCCAGTTCTATTTAATAGGTTGGATGCCCTCAGCAAAAGTCCAGTGCTCAGGCCGTGATCTTAGTCTTACAGACTCTAGACTTACTCATCCAGGTTCTGGTACATTTACAATATGCAATCATATCTCCTTGTACAGTAACAATTATTTTGTTGATATTAATTAATTTAAGGGCAAATTTGCTTTTCATATCTAAAGATAAAAGTAGGCAAATATCCTAGAATTTTTACTTTCATCTGAAGAAAAAAAACCTCAGCAAGACATTTTACCAAATTTGTAACTTCACTATTTATTTATT